GTGGTGGGTAATAAGCTGGAAAAGTAGGCTGGGCCTGGTTCAGTGAGGTGCATGTTGTCGGTGCCCCACTCATATGCCCTGAGGACCTGTCATGTATCTCAGCCTGCCGGCATCTACAGCACTTTGCAGGCAGCTCTTCACGGGCTCTCTCTTTGGTAATCCACTCTGCCCTCCTACACAGCAGACAGGAAGAGCACCCCTCACTTAGCCCAGGAGCCACCTGCCCACGACTGACTGGGATTGGTAAACAAATACCTTTGCTCTCTATCCCCTTGGGTTACGTTAACACTTGGCCATATGTTTGACCGTTATTTCCCAGAAGGCCCACAGTGGTAACCTGCCTGATAACACACCCTTATTGGCTGCCTTCCTTTCCCTGACCCACTTCCCCATTCCCTGTTGCTGTCTCCTGAGATCATTTCCAGCATATATTACATACTCAAATTCTTATCTCAAGGCCTGTTTCAGGAGAAACTCAAACTAAAACATCATGGAAGACCTGGGATGCTAAGTTAAGAAGATCGGAGTTTGAGCAATAAGTGCTTCCTTAGCGCCAAATCAGAATGGCCATATTTGCAGGTAGCGTCTTCTAAACTACTCCCCTCTCCACATTCTCTCTTGTGGTTGTGGAGATCTTCCAGCCAGTTTTTAAAAATTGATTTTAGAGAGAGATAGGGGGAAGAGGGAGAGAGGGAGGGGGAGAGACATCAATTTGTTGTTCCACTTATTTATGCATTCTTGTGGTGACAATGCTCTAACCAACTGGGCTACAAGGCCAGGGTCCCAGCCAGTTTTAACTTAGCTGAGTATATATTGCTAAGAAGTGACACAGTAATACATATAGCCCAATCTCTGCCCTCACTTTGAAGATCCAGCCCAGCCAAGTAGAATGCTCATTTTTGTACCTATTGATCATAAATTTCCAAGGTTCCTTCTTTTAGAATTTCCTCTCTTTTTAAAGAATTCCTTTAGTCATTCCTTTAAGGCAAGGTACAAGGACTTTAATCCCTATCCAGCAGTAAAAAGGTATCTCTCCCTATTGCAAATGGATTAAATATACCAGTTAAAAGACAGAGCTTGGCAGAATAGATATTTTTAAATGACTAAATTATACGCTGTCTACCTATAAGAAACTCACTTCAAATATAGGTAGGTTAAAAGTAAAAGGATGGAAAAAGATAGAGCATGCAAATATTAATCAAAATAAAGCAGGAGCGAATATATTGTTATCAGATGAAGTAGACTTCAGAGCAAAGAAAATTACCAGAGAGAGATTACGTAATGATACGGGGGTCAATCCACCAACAAGACATAGCATTCCGAAATGTGTATGCACCAAACAGCAGAGCTGCAAAATATGTGAAGCAAAAACTGATAGAAAGGAAAGGAGAAATGGACAAATCCACAATTGTACTTGGAGATCTCAACATCCTTCTCTCAACAACTGGTACAGAAAATCAGCAAAGTGATGGAAGAACTCACCACCACTACCAACCGACAGGATCAAATAGATCGGACACTCCACCCAGCAGCGGCAGATTACACATTCCTTTCAGGTGCCCAAGGAGCATATACCAAGGAACACCCTACATTCTGGGCCATAAGACAAAACTCAAATTAAAAAGAACTGAAACCATACAGAGTGTGTTCTCTGACTACAGTGGAATAAAACTGGAAATCAGTAACAGAGAGATAACAGTCAAATCTCCAAATACTTGGAAACTAAACAACAGGCTTAAAATAATCCATGGGTCAAAGAAGTCTGAAGGGAAAACTTAAAAATACACTGAATTGAATGAAAATGGAACTACAACATATTAAAATGTGTGAGGCACAGCTAAAGCAGTGCTAGGAGGATATTTCTAACCCTAAATACTTAGATTAGAAAAGAAGGAAAAGTCTCTAATCAATAATCTAAAAAGCTTCTACCTCGAGATATTAGGAAAATAAACACAGAATAATCCCAAAGCAAACAAAAGGGAAGTAATTATAAGGACCAGAAATCAATGAAATTGGGGAAAACAGAAAAACAATAGAGAAAATCAATGAAACTAAAAGCTGACTCTTTGAAAAGATCAATACAACTGATAAACCTTTAGCAAGAATGACAAAGAGAAGAGAGAACACAAATTACAAAAGTCAGGAGTGAAACGGAGGAAACACTGTAGACCCCAAGGGCTTCAATAAAGGGTAATAAAGGAACACCTGGAACATATCTACGCCATGAGTTCAACTCATAAAAGGAGCCAATTCCCTGAAAAACACAACCTACCACAATTCACGCAATATGAAAAATATAACTTGAACAGCTTTATAACTATTAAGGAAATTTTACTTGTAATTTAAAACTCCCCAAAAGGAAATCTCCAGGCCCAGATGTTTTCACTAGAAAATTTACCAAACGTTTAAAGAGGAATGGAGAAATACCCAGAGGGCCTGTGAAAACAGGTCACTGAGGCCTACGCCCAGAGTTTCTACTTGAGCAGGTGCCGATGGGTCCCGAGAACTTCGGTTTCTATCCCGTTCCAGCTCTTGTCCCTGCTGCTCCAGGGCTTCCTCTGAGAGCCACTGCTACAACACAAATCCTGACTCATTCTGCGTGTCCTAAGCTGGCTTCTTTGAACTGCATCCGCATGAAGCCTAAACTCGCATTTGAATGTTTCCACAGAAGAACTTTAAAGAAAAAAAGTCACAGAAGTTCAACAGTTCTCAAGCTATTTATTCTAAATGTCTCCCCACCACACCCCACAAAAGTATTACCATATTTTGGCAATTATTAAAAATAGTATAACTGGGCTGTTTCTTTTTAAAAAGTGATGTAAAACAAATTCCATTATTAGGTGTTTTGTTACGTGGAATTTTCTGTTAACTGTTCTGTGTGCTCTATAATAATCCTCACAATAACCTGGAGTGACTGAATCATGAGGAAAGAGCTATATTATGTTCAGTTCAATTTTAAAGCAAACCATGCTTTATAGAATGCCAACGCTTTACACATTCTGTAAGAATAGTTAGAACACTAGAATACTGATGATCCAAGACACTTCATACCCCAACCAATAACAATTAATAGGAATTAAGGTAAGAACTTATAACTGGGAAGTTAGAATGGACCTTGTTTATTTTAGAGGTTTTCAGAAATAATGTCCAAAAGCCAAAGTACCTATGAGTTTTGCAGAGTAAAATATACTGATATTTTATTTTAAAATATATCTTATTTTAAATGTTTTAGACCTAGGTGTCTTATTTAAAACAAATAACTGAAGAAGGCACACCTCACTTCTAACACGTCTCCTTTACTTCTGTCCATGTTTCATCCTCAGCATATTTTTCTCACAGAACTGTCTCTGTTGGTCTAATTCTCAATGAAGCAGCAGTTACTACAGGATGCAGCTGGGGTTATACCAAGAGAATGTATGTGGGTTGACAAAACAGTTTAATATATATATTAAACAGTTTAATATATAAACAGTTTAATTATAATTTGAAAGTTCAAAAACTCCATTAAAAAAACGTAGGAACCGCCACTGTATTCACAGGTTAATTTTGCTCGCTGTGAGAATAACCATATGGGTAGGAACAATGGAAATAGGCGCAGAAAACTCAGGTTTTTTCCTGAGAACTTGTTTTTCTGTTTTTTAAAAAAATCTATAGCATAAATATTCTTTAAGCTCTATATGAAATATTTTCTGTTACCAAAGGCCTTAAAAAGCCAAAACAATTCTTTCATGCCTCAGTACTAAAGCTCATTCACTTTAGTTACATTCATTATGAAGATTTCACTAAAAGCGCTCCTATAGCAGCTTATAAATATATATGATAAATCCACTAGAACCTCATTGTAAACTTATTTGTCTTACTGCAAAACTTGGTAGTTGTATCTAAAAAAGGATCTTGTCCAGTCTCTAAATTTAACCTTCCTAAACCTTGGCCTGGTAGCTTAAATAAATGGAACAATAAAATTGATGTTTCTCTCTGTCCCCTCCCTTTCTCTCTCTCTAAAATCAACCAATCAATACATTAAAAATAAATAAATTCCACCTTCCAGATATATTTAGTTGTCAGAGTGTCTCCCATTTTTAAAGCTTTGAATGCTTTTAGAAGGGACAAGGACTATTTAATTCATCACTCCTGGCTATTACATTTCCAGTATCACTCATTTATGTTTCCTAAGACCACATCTGAGCTTGCATTTTGTATTTAAAAGCCCAAAGATCTCACTAAAATATGAGATTCTAGTTTACTGAAGGTAAGACTCTATATTAACTGTTGGCCAGGGTGTAGACAAACCTCATGAACTGATGCCGCGGGGTAAACAAACACAACTTTCTGTAGGGCAGTCTGGCAACATGAATTGAATTTAAAATTGCACCAGCTATCTCATTCTAAACAGATAACTGAAGAAGTGCAAAAAGATGAATAAGACTGTTCATTACAACACTACTTATAATCACAAAAAAATAAAAACAACTTAAATATCTATTAAGAGAGGATTGATCAAACCAAGTATGTTGCCTTTAGTCAATGAATTACTATTCAGAGAATGTTGATAACTATTATATATGTGTGGGTATGTATATATATGGCATATAAGTACTATATATATATGTATAGTACATATATATGTATATTTCATCAACTGAGATGGGGAAAACTGTGGGTAGAACAGATTCCTTAGGGACTCTCAGGAGTATAGTTACAGACATCTAAGTTTGCGACATCAATTAATATCCCAGGGGAGTTGTTGAACAGGCAGTAGGATAATTTTCCAAGTAACATAAACTTACCTGTCCAAATAACATTAAAACATTTAATGTGCATTTTCCCAAAATGTACTATAATTGTCCACGCTGTTTTCAATACCAGGGTCAGTTCAGGGGTTGGGGGCTACCAGGAAGTCAGCTCAAATATTGACTCCATTTCTTTTCTTTGAAGAAAACAGGTTTATTGAATAAGAATTTTATGAGCAAGCCAAATCTTTACCAAATACTTTTATCAAAGAAAACTCCAGGCTCTGCCAAGGACAGTAGGGGCAAGAGAGGGTCCGGGTGTCCCTGGGCCAAGAGAGGGTCCGGGTGTCCTTGGGCTGAAAATTCAGCAGTCACAATTTTTGTTGAGCTTTCAGTAATGAAATATATTTTTCCACCCATTTTTCCTTTGGCTGTGCACAGATTTTCCGGCCTTTTTTGGTAGTGAATCTGTGGGAAAGAGATGCTGTCAGTCAATACTGAGAAGTTTTGTCTCCTGGAAAGGGGTGGAGGGCCAGCTGCCTGGCTCGTATTCTAGCCTTGCTATACCCCGTCACACTGACCACGCTTCCAGGCAAACCTCCCCCAGGAAACACTTTCCAACAGCTCTAGTGCGAAGCATGTAACCTGCACCCTGCCTCTTAAATCTTTTGTTTTAATCTAACAGCTTTATTGAGATATAATTCACACACTATATAATTCACTCACTCAAAGTGTATAATTATCATTCAGTGGTTTTTAATATATCCATAGATGACACAATCATCACCACTATCAATTTTAGAACATTTGCATCACCTCCAAGAAGGAACCTTATATGCATTATGTCACTTAATTCTTAACCACATTATCATGGGTTGTTTGCCACGATTCCTGCACTCCTAATATCCTGCTGTGATCTCATTAAGAAGAGGGGTTGTGGTTAATGACTCTGAATCTCTTGCAACCTTGTGCATCCTGAGAGCACTCAGATAAGCTGACAGCCTAGATCCGGTCGTTCTAGCCTGGAGCACTTTGTATCTGGAGCATCTCTCAGGAAGGCCCTGAGTACAAGCAGCAGAGAAAGCCAATCAAGACACAAAGGTGAGCCCAGCCCGGTGTGGCTCAGCGGTTGAGCGTCAACCTGGGATCCAGGAGATCGAGGTTCGGTTCCCAGTCAGGGCACATGCCCAGGTTGCAGGCTAGGGAGCCAATCAACGACTCTCTCACCATTGATGTTTCTCTCCCTCTCCTTTCCTCCCTCTGAAATCAATAAAGATATTAAAAAAAAAAAAAAAAAGACACAAAGGAGAAGACCCAGGACATCCTGAGCCCCAGAGTGCCCCCCTCCATATCTAGGCAATTAAGTGTCTCTTTCCCATCCTTAAGTGTCTCAAAATGATGGCATTCAGGTTGGCCTCTGGAGCCCCTTTCCCCTTCTGCACCATTCTCTCATGCTCAAGAACCCCCTGTCCTAGGGAGCAGTGAACCACCCTTCCCTGTGTAGTTGCACTTAAAGATGTTTTTGTTGAATGTTGGTAAGTTGGGTTGTCACCCTGCCTCTGCATGTGGCGGTGATATGGCCAAATTCTGCCACTTACAGAACATTTGTTGAATAGTCACTGTGTGTAGGCATAGCACTAAAAGCTTTGCATATAGTATCTCATTTAGTTCTGCCAGGGAGCCTGAGGTGCGTGTCATCTCTCCTGCAACCAATGAGGCCGGCATGGCACAGCCCCTGTTTACCGGTCTGCCTTGTCAGCGACATGTTCATTCTCCTCCCACTCACCTGCTGCTCCCTCCGCCTGGTACATCCATGCTCCTTCCTGCCCCCTTTACCTGGGCCACTCCCACTGATCCTTGAGGGTTTCAGTGTAAATTTCACTTCCTCAGGGGGACTTCCTAACACTGAGCTAGGTCCTCCTGTGACTATGATGAAGAGTGGCAGAATGTGCTGCCCCAAAATATACCATTTTGGCATAGAGATTATTTTGAGCTAAAGGCACTTGAAAAAAAAAAAGCAGGTGCAAAAAGGGCTCTCTGACCTCCTCCTTTCTTCCTGGAAGCAGGAGATAAAACTTCCATGTAAAAAATGGCCTCCCTGTACCAGGAGGAAATAAACATTTTTGCTACCAGAAATAGGGAGTCAAGGCCAAGAGAATTCTGTAGAAACAGCTGTTAAGATAACTCTTATCATCCTTTAGCTGCCTCCCCCAGACTTCTTAGTTACTCTTCCACAATTGCCTCTATTTAACTTAGTATAAATGCATTTACATTTTGCCACTTTTGGGGGGTCTTAATTTTCCCATGAGGGCTCCCATGTACATGTGTGGACAAAAAGGGGCCACATGCTAAACCTGACAAGCTCAGGGGAGGCCTGCATGATGGCCTTGCAAACTCAGAGGCCTAAAGTAACCACAAGGATGGTCTGAAATGAAAACTTTTTTAGCCAGATGTTTATCTATGATAACGTATCATTGGAATGTCAAAGTAATTTTCCTTTTCCCAGACCCGTCAAAGCACAGTCACTGCTCTGCAGAGACCACAAATTCCCTCACTGTTATTGAGTTAATTGTTGACTGTTAACTATCCTGCAGAAGTGTGTCTATCATTTTACTTTTTATCCAATCCCAGAGGTTTCCCCACTTTGCTTTCTCCCACTTCCCTAATCTATCACCAGGGAATTTCATGTAACCCACTTATGTCTCCTCTTTTAATTGTAATGCATAAAACAAAGTGCAAAACTGCCATTCTCCGAAGCATTATCTCAATCCGTTGAGATTTTGGCTTCCTGGCAATTGTCGACAGTTTGGCTCAAATAAACTCACAAAAATTCTTCACAAGTTTGAATGATTTCTTTTTTTTTTTTTAATATCTTTATTGATTTCAGAGAGAGGAAAGGAGAGAGAGAGAGAGAGACAGAAACATCAATGATGAGAGAGTCATTGATCTGCTACCTAGCCCGCAACGCGGGCATGTGCCCTGACCAGGAATCGAACCCCGATCGCCTGGATCCTAGGTTGACGCTTAACCACTGAGCCACACCCGGCCGGGCTTGAATGATTTCTTATCTTAACACATGTAAAATCTGTATGCTTTTCTCCTATTCATCTGTCTGTCAACTTAATTCTCAGGCCCAGCCTAAGAGGGTAAAGTTATGCCTCCCCTACAGTGACAAGCACCCTCCTGCTCTCCTTCCTGCTGTCCCCTTCAAGCACCCATCACAATTGTGATTATCTATTTTGTGCAAATGTCTTTTAATGCTCCCTTTCGTATGCTAGATGTAAGGTCTATAAGAGCTGCCTGGTTCTCCCTTTTATACTCAGCATTTAGCACCTCCTGGAATATGCCCAGCACATGATACCGAAGTTAGGAAACCAACACTCAGTATCATGCTTGTTAGTGGCAGAGGCAGGGTGACAACCCAAGTTATCAGGTTCCCATCCTGAGGCTCATCCTCGCACCAGAGGGACTTGCCTTGCACCCACCCAATTAACTGACTGGCAGGGACCCCAAAAGCCCCAATGAGAAATACTCACATCACAGCCTTCTGGGAGCAGCTGTTCTTAGTGAATTCATAGCTTTGCACCCTGCTCCACGGAAGGGTCTTTTGGCTGAATTGCAAGCAGCAGTACTTGGCCACATCAATGCCACCTAAAAAACAGGGAGAAGGAGATTGGAGACACTCCTTTGCTTCTATTCCCAGTCATCCAGGGAAGGGAGTGGGGCAGCTACATACGTGTGGCAACTCCGAGGTGGACACTCAGGATGAAAACTAGGAGAACAGGGGGAGCCATGGGGAAGCTCTTCATGCTGCTGCAGGCAAAGCCCTTTGCAGCCTTCTCCCAATTCCTCCTGTCCTAACCAAACCCCCTTTTCTGGGGCCGAGTGATCCCTGAAGATAATTCCAGATGGAGAAGTAATCTGCTACCCTTGAGAAAGCTGAGGCTATGTCATCTGGGGTAATGGGAGGAGCCCGCATGCAACTGAGAGCCTGACCCAGGGTTATGACACCTCTTTTTTGTCTGAAAAGTAAAAAGAGAGGAAATGAAATTAAATTCCAGCGAACTGATCTAAAATCCTTTACAACACTGTCAGTTGTTCCAAATATCTGGCTCTTGGCTGAAACTTTCTTTGCTTTATAAACATTACTTACCGCTTGGTAAGGTCTGGACAGTCTCGGGATGTGTGCAGGGCAGCCTGACCATGACAATGGACGTTCAAGAACAAGATTCCAGCACTCGTCCTGTGTCTCATCATGACGCAGATCAAGGTGAAAAGGAGAAACCCATGCAGGAGCTCTGCATCCGCAAGTTCTGCTGACTCCAGTAGCCAAGGTCCTAAAGCAGCTCACAGTCCAGACCCCTATGTTCTCCAAAGCCAGATACACCGTCAGATCCTTTGGCATCAAGAGAAATGAAAAGATTGCCATCCACTGCATAGTCTGTGGGACCAAGGCAGAAGAAATCTTGGAGAAAGGTCTAAAGATGAAAGAGTGCAAATTATGAAAAGAAAATAACTTCTCAGATATTGGAAACTTTGGTTTTGGAGTCCAGGAATACATCTATCTGGCAATCAGATATGACCCAAGCATTGGTATCTATGGCCTGGACTTCTGTGTGGTGCTGGATAGGCCAGGTTTCAGCATCACAGGCAAGAAACATAGGACAGGCTGCACTGGGGCCAAACATAAAATCAGCAAAGACAAGGCTATGTGCTGGTTCCAGCAGAAGTATGATGGGATCATCCTTCCTGGCAAATAAATTCCCGATGCTAACGAAAACACCAATAAAATATTTTCAGTGAAATGTAAAAAAAAAAAGGGAACTATGCCTCCTATGTTCTTAGTGTCACATATCCCGCCCACAGGGTGCCAGAGCTACTTGGAGGAACTCGGAACTACCTCACCCAAAACCTGATGAAACACCACAATTGCCTAGTGTCAGAAAGATATGCATCTTCCCAGTTCCTGCTTTGCTCCTGGTGAGCCAGGCTCTTTGTGTATGTGGGTGGGACGGTAGGGCAGGGTCCAGTAATCTATATTTTAGCCGGATTTGGCTGAAATGAGGAAAGTGAACTCCCAAAAGGGGCAGTGATTTCTGCCAGAAAAGTCTTAGGAAAGGGTAGACAGGGTTTTCAGATCCATGTTTCATGACTACACTCAGTATTCCCACCCAATTATTGAATTTAAAGTTACAAAAAAAAGTCCATTCACTAGTCATCTTGAACCCACAGACTTTTTTTGGGTTAACTGAGACCTTTCAAATACACACACCCCCCCCAATACACACACAGTTTTAATTACTCTGAGTGAAAGGGAACTCACCTTTGAACTTGGCTCAACTGAGGACAGCTCTGACGGTATGTCACAAAGTTCTCTTGAGGTTGTTTTTTTTTTTAATTTATCTTTATTGTTAGAAGTATTACAGATGTCCCCTTTTCTTAAGTTCTTTTAAAAATTTGGCTGAAATCTATATTTCCATTGCTTCTACTTATTGACCCAATTCTACTCAAAAATGCCTAATTTCTCTTCTCTTCTTTTGGAAGATGAGGAAATTAAGGTTTCGGCAGATTTGAGGACCATTGTTTTAGTTGGGTTCCCCTAGAACAGACCCTGAGAAAAGGATTCCTGTGTAAACTATTTCCGAGGGAGGTGATTCCTGAAGCCACCAGTAGAGGAGGGGAGAAGCAGGGGGAAAGAGTAAGTGCCAAAACAAGGCAGGTTATCAAACAGGTTACTGCCACCAGCAGCTGCAGCTCGGTTCCACTGCGGTTCTGGGAGCTGCTGCAGAACCCACCTGAGACAGCCCAACTGCCGGGTGAGGCAGCGGGGACACTAACCCCCCAGCTCTCTGGATGACATTGGTTGAAGGCTGCATCCCACACTCCTTGTCCTTTGAGCTAAGTGTGCTCTGTGACTGGGAAAAAGGCCCGCAGGCTGAGGCCAGGGGGTCCTCAATGAGCACCCTTTGGCTCCCAGGGGGAATGACGAGAGGATATGGGTGGGGCCCCGACAGCACCTGCTACAACCATTATCACATTTGCCTTTGAATATCTCTCCTTTAGGCTAATCTCCCCTGTGCCTTCAGTTTGTCCCCAACCATCCTACTGGCCACCTTGACACACCAGTTTCAACTTTAATAAACAGTTCCAGTGTGCTGGGAACGCAAATGTTTCATAAATGGGATACCTAAGTACTAACTACAAGGGGCTGATGAAGAGTTGATAAATTGGACTGTATAAAATTTGGAACTTTTATTCATTAGGAGACACCAATAAAATAATGAAATGTAATCCGAAGGTTGGAACACTTTTGCAACACATCCCCCCCAAATTCACAATAACCCAGAACTTCAGAATATGACCTTATTTGGAAAATGGGGACTTTGCTGCAATTAGTTGAGGTTATATTGGATTAGGGTGGGCTCTTGTGATATTGTGATTTATAACAAGAAATATATATTTGGTCTACATCCCCTGGCACACAGCTCCTAAACTCTTGTCATTTTCTGAGTGGTAAAGAAATGGGAACATCTTTTGGTACAATATTTGGTCTTTTATCCTCAGTTTTGTTTTTAAACCTCACCAGAGGATATTTTTTTCCATTGTTTTTCAGAGACAGTAGAAGGGAGAGGGACAGAGACAGAGAGAAACATTGATGTGCGAGAGACATCGACTGGTTGTCTCCTGCACGAGCCCCAACCAGGGCAGGGATTGAGTCTGCAACCAAGGCGCGTGCCCTTGTCCGGAATTGAAGGAGTGACCCTTAAGTCCAAGGGCCAACACTCTAACCACTGTTACCCCCAGTTCTTGAAATACCACCAAAGCAATAAAGGCTAAAGGAATGTCTTGTTATTCATAAAAAACCCCTTTGAACCACACCTGTTTATAGTATTAATCATGCAGTTTTTGGAAAGCACTTTGGTGATCACAGGATGAGTGGCTGTCAGGAGAACCATATTGTGATTAGAAGCTTGGGATGTTTCAGCCCACTCCCCAGTCTCCAGAGAGGGGAGAGGGCTGGAGGCTGATTTAATCCAAGGGTGGGGAACATCTGGCCTGAAGGCCATGTACAGTCTGAGAAATCATTTGGTCTGACCCTACCAAGGCAACCACAGGCGGGACTTGATATTCAATAAATCTAGAAGCTTTTTTCATAGCTAATTTTTAAGTTGATCATTTTGTATGGCCTGTGAATGATGTTATAAATATCCAAATGGCCCTTGGCCGAAAAAATGTTCCACACCCCTGATTTATTTAATCAACCCTGCCTACATAAATAAGCCTCCATAAAAATTCCAAAACAACAGAGTTCAGAGAACTTCTAGGTTGGTGAACATGTGGAGGTACTAGGAGGGTGGTATGCCCAGAGTGGGCATGAAAGAAAGCTCAGTGCCCCTTCCCCATTTCTTGTCCTGTGCATCTCTTTCATCTGTCTGTTCCTGAGTCATATTCTTTATACGAAGCTGGTGTCTAGTAAGTAACTCCAGTTTTCCTGAGTTCTGTGAGTTAGTCTAGCAAATTATTGATCCTGAGGAGGGGTTCCTGGGAACCTCTGATCTACAGCAGGTTGGTCAGAAGCATAGGAGACAACCTGGACTTGCACTTGGCATCTGAAGTTGGGGCAGCCTTGTGTGACTGAGCTCTCAGCCCATGGAATCTGATGTTATCTTCAGGGAGATGGTGTCTGTATTGAGTTAAATTGTAGGATACTTGGATAGTGTGTGAGAATTGCTTGGTGTGAGAAAAACCTTCTACATCTGCTGTTAGAAGTGAAGTACTGAGAGTGTTGTAGTGAGCAGACAGAAAACAAAAGAGTATCCTTATAAGAAGTCCATGTGAAGAGACAAAGACACAGGGAAGAAGTCCAAGCAAGGAATGGAGACAGAGGTTGAAGAGATGCATCTACATACAAGCAAAGGAGTGTCAAGGAGGCCAGGAGCCACCAGAATGTAGAACAGGCAAGGGAGGATTCTTCCCCAGGCCTTTAGATGGAGCACAGCCTTGCTGATATCCTGATTTCAGACTTCTAGCCTCCAGAACCATGACAGAATACATTTCTGTGGTTTTAAGCCACACAGTTTGTGGTAATTGGTTAAGAAGCTCTAAGAAACTAATACAACATGTATCTGTAAAAGGGCTAAAATTCAGGATGTGTAAAGAACACTATAATTAACTCAACAACAAGAAGAAAACACAATAGTAAAATGGTTGAAACGTAAATACTTTATGACAGAGGATACCCAAACAATGAATGAAAAGGGGCTTGATTATAGCAGCTATCAGAGGAATGCAAAGTTAAACCACAATGTGATTCAACTACCACACCCACCAGATGGCTAAAATGAGCCAGATGGATAATGCCAAATGTTAGGGAGGATATGGTGCACTGAAGCTCATATACTGCTGGTGGGAGTGGAAAACCACTGGCAGTACTTACTAAAGCTTAATTTACACATACTCCGTAACCCAGCAATTCCACTCCCAGGCATATATCCAACAGAAATGTGTACATACGTTCACCAAAAGTCGCTGTTTATAATAGCACCAAACTGGAAACTACCAAAATATCCATCAACAATAGAATGGAAAATATATTGTGGCTTATTAAAATAGTACAAGACCATACAACAATGAGAATGAACTATAATTACATGTAACCATGTAGATGTGTGTCATGACCTCATGTTGAGGAAAAGAAGCCAAATACAAAAGAGAAATATTGTAGGATGCCATCTATATAAAGTACCAAACAAGCAAGACTAACCTATAATGATGGAAGTCAGAACAGTGATTACCCTTTGGGGATAGT